GGCGTCTTCGCTCGAGAGTTAAAACATTCGTCGAATAGTCGGCATTGACGTTTTTAATATATACGCGTTTTATCCTTCTCTAATTCGCGTCACGGAGGTGCATTCAAAGCATCAGGACAGAATTGATTGCTGTTGTATTGATGAGAACGGAGGAGATAACTTCCTCTTCCTACGCTTGTTAGATAATCGTAGATAAAAAATGGGGGGGGGGGCTGATAAAAAATAATGAAACGCGGAATTACAGAAGACCGATACTTCATCGGTGATATCCCCTCGAAAACGGCCGCGCGCGATTAGCATCAGATAACAGCCCGACTCCTGCGGACGAAGGATGCACATTCCTGCATATCCTTGACACGATCCGCTCGGCTCGCGCGCTCGTCAGGCGTGCGTCTCGCCGTTTACGGAATTCTCAGGTTTCAAGGCGTCGACGTCGTCACCGTCGTGCAAATATAAAAAACGGACGTGCACATACCTCGGCGCGAAGTCAGCCGTGCGTGAGAAGAAAGACGGAGAGGGAGGACAAAAAGAAAGACAAGAAGACAGATCGGTTAATTACTATCCTGCGAGAAAAACGCCGCCGGGGGAAAAACGCGAAGAAATACAAAAGCTAGGGTCGTTAAGTTCGACAATAGAATTATACGTAAAAAGCGCATAGCAATATTAATGCCAGAATGTTAAAGAAAAACTGGATTACGCCAATTAAGCCCAGGAATAATGAAAATCCACATTTCCAGAGCAAATTCCGCAGAACATAATAAAAATCACGTGAGCGACAAGTGGGAATTAATAATGATACCAAATTTACAAACAACGGAAACGGAAAAATTAACGTAACAAAGATGAAGTAAGTGAGACAGCAACGTAGAGAGCAGAAAGGAGAGAAAAGCTCGTTTAAAGAATTCTGTGGAATCGGTCGCGATCGATCGCGGAATGATTTACGACCAATAACGTCCGTGATTTAAATTCCCGCTGGATAGCGGGGTAATACGTTTAATTGGACAGCGAGTAGAGAAATTGTGAATAGCGTGCAAACGCGACTAGCGAAAATGATCTTGTGAGCGGAAACGAATGTGACGGCGATAGATCTTCGAGACTGACCGGTAACGGTGCGATCGATTAATATTCGCGGTGAGTCGATCTATCGGCAGGAAACCGGAGGGCAGCGATCAGCCGCGCGCATTTCCGGGATTAATTATAGAGAAGAGAAACCAAATCGAAAGTTTATCCTGGCGCTATTTATGTTAAAGTCGAAAAGTTCTGAAAGAAAAAGGAGGGTCTCTTCTTGTTGATGAATTTCACGAAAATGTTTAATCGAGATCACTTCTGTATAGAAAGTTATCACGCCGTAAACAAGACATTCTAGACGTATTACTCATTACAATTTTTATTACTCATTATTATTTTTAGTTTACGCTTGTGATCAGCACGGCATAATAACGAGGATTTCTGTAATAGTCAATTAAAACCTGTTCGAGAGCAAGAATGATGACGTCAAGGATTTTCCACTTCTCGCAAAAAGTGAACAGCTAATTTATATAGTTTGGTCAAATAAATCTCGAGTAAGATCTCTCGAGACTAGGAATGCTTTTCGGACACTTCCAGGAAATTTGACGAGCAAAATGCTTCCACGAATAATTTCGTTTATAGTTGAACCAGTCGAAGGCGTCATCGGAAAGGTGCATTTATCTTGGCATAAATATGATGCAATGCGCTTGCAATAACGAGACGTTGAAATCTCGTTGGGAAGGAAAGCTGAAAAGAATTCCATCCCGACAGTCACGTTTTTAGTAAAAAGTTTCATTCTTCCCAGATGACGTTGCGAGAATAATTTTTCAACTCGAGCAATCGATTATTTGTTTATAACAATTTTAGTTACTGCAATTGTCTGCCGAGAGAACGACTGCAAAGTAACAATATCTCACAATACTTTCGTAACACATTTTTCGTTTAAATATATATCCTGTATCTCGTATATTCGATCATAGATCTTTTTAGTATTGTATCGCTTTTTGTTATCGTAAGTAGGAAATAACGTGTTACATCTATGTTAATGTGCTACTGCGCATCCGTTGTAATGATTAATAATTTTCATAATTATCACCGGTTAAACAAGCCGCATCGAACAATATCAGAGAGAATAATTCACGCATAGATAACTACTTAAAGCACGTACAACTCTGACTCACATAAGCTGACGATTTGCATTCGCCTTAACGATCTTCCGTATGGCGCGAGCATTTGAATTGGTAATTTTGGAAGGAATATTGTCCGTAAGAAAATTATCTCCCATAAAGAAATCGAAAGTTATGTTTTAAACATGTTCTCCTTTGAAATAAAAGAAATGCATTGGTACACTCTAATAATTAATTAAATTTTAATGATTCTTGTGCTCGCACGTACACGCATACATGTGCATGGAGGGAATTTTCTTTTAAAATGTACCTTGAAAATCGTGTAATCGTGGGACAGCATGGCATTTTGAAGACCTTTACGAGTTTTTTGAAATTTTACCATACATTCTACTATAGTAAAATGCGTGGTAAAATTTCAAACAACTCTCACAAAGTTCTTCAAAATGCCACGTTATCCCACGATCACATGATTTTCAGGATAAATTTTAAGAGAAAAATCTCGCCGTGCACATTTTTTTAAACAAACAACTCACTTTTAAGGATGACCATTCTCAAGGAACTCAAAATTTCATCTAATATTTGCGTCAATCAATTTCGTTATCAAAATGTCATTAATGTATCCACGCGCTTTCTTATCACTTTCTTTAACGCATCTCTGTTTTCTTTGACACATTTAATTAAGATTGTGCAATTCGTGACTACATTGTGTCGCGGAAGAACACAGAGCGAATTCGATTAGAGGAGACGAAATCGATTTTTGTAAATTATACTCTTCATTATCAATGGGTCACTTGCTCATTTTTTATTATAGAATTATTGATTTATTATGTCCGGATCCGCTTTTCTTCTTGGGATGAAATTTCATCATCGCATTATTAGTCACGTTTTCTCGATTCCGGTTTCCTAAAAAGCGCAAACTCTGAATAAAAGGGACATCGGGCCTTTTACAAAGGTCAAACGTGACTAATCTTCCGTCCAAGGTAACAAACTAGTCCTCCTGCTGGGACACGCATATTTGTCAAAGAAAGCGTAAGAAAGTTAGCAGCACAACTCAGTGGGATACACATTCTTCCTTGGCCCGAAAAATTCCTGGCTCTCCGCAGTGGCTAAATCGTGTTCTATAATATAAAGCGAGCGTGAAAGTTAGATGTCAGCGAAGAATGTCGAGGCGAAGCGGGAAGTGCGTCTCGGATAAAGTTAGGAATTAATTGGAAGGATCGCTTTGTGAGGAACGGCTGCGTACCTGACGATCGTAAAAGCGTGAAAATGAAGATTTCGAGGACCAAGTATCCTCTGAGTAGAAGTCAAATCCGCAAGAACTTGCTTTATAATTTTCCCTATTACGTAAACACACCGGTGCTTCTCATCGTTTAAAATTGTTACCGGTGATAATTCTTTTATAATAATATCTTTAGAATGATACATGATGTATCTTGATCCGCTTGCGAATTTTCACTCGTGCCCGTTTGGCTCCATTCAAGACGTAACATTGCACAGAATTACGGCTGTTACGAAATTGGTGCAACGGCTGGTTGCGACAGAGGAATCCGCGCCGGGGATTCCGTCGCTCGATCAGGTCTAATCGGATCGATCGGCACGTAGTGCTATAAAACCGCGCGCCTGACGATCAGTGTGTCAATGTAAAGTGGAAACGACCTTCCAGTGTCAGCGACCAGCTCCGCTCGTCTTGAGGACGCTCGGCGTCGGCTTTAACGCAGCTGGCGAACGTTACGCGACAATACCAAGGACCAACTTCGGGCATTGTAATTGTGCACGCACTACATACCCGCCATGTAGAAAGCGTGCAATCGGTCGCAGGGGCGCTCTTCTCTCGCGGAACGCGCCGGTGAACGGAGGAACGTCATTAAAAGCTCGTTAGTTTTAAGAAACCAGTCAAAAATTTTAGCAGCGCTGAAAACAACAGTTCGAGAGATGACCATTTCTTCTCCTTCTCTTACAAAGGTTTACGATTTCAACACGTGCGATTAATTGATTGACAAGATTATCATTAATTAGATCATTAACTGTTGCAATTTATCAGAGCTCTACGGTGTTAAAAATTGACTTATTTTACAATACGCAAGATTGCGACGTTTATTTATATCCTATATTAATTCTTACGCTATTTTCAAATCAATCGGTCTTTACGTATTTCAGAATCTAGCCACGCCAGACCTCCTTTTGTTCCTACAATCGTAATCAATTTAATTCACGTGATATTACACGTAAATACATGTCTACGAGCAGCCGCCTGCCTGCGCAATAGACACGACGCCTGCGTCAGCGATTCTTGCACAACATAAAGTTTCATCAGTTCCGCAAATAGTCACGCAAATACGGAAATAAAGCCGGTTGCTTTCGGGAGGCACGAACGATTCCCAAGTTGATCTATCGATCCGACCCTGATTCTATCTGCGCATGGTGACAGACGCGCGACGCAAGACGATTGTCTACGTGACTGTCGTAGCTTCCTGCCCGACGTGTCCCACATATATCCGTTCTTCTTCGTGCCGAACGTCTTCGCGTCCTCGCGACGTCGGCCCGCGCTTTCGATTTTTCACGCAGGCTCGACGACCCCGCAGGGACACCTTTGCTCCATTAACACATTTAATGCCAATGATCTTTTTATTCGTCACTTTCACGAGAGTAGAAACGCCCCTGTTACGTTGCCGGGAATGGCATTCCATCTTATTTTACACGTCGGAATTTTTTGGAAAAATACGTTCTCTCCTGTAGCTACGGTGACTTCAGGCGAAATTACATGTTACATACCGATCGATTGTTTCTCACCATGGACAGAAATTAATTCATTTAATTTAAGCAGAACAAATTTACAATTTCTGCTTTCTTTCGCTTGATATCCAGGTGGTTCCGTACCCGATGAATCCGTCGAGACGACTACGATAGGAGGCATCGGAAATGTGTCGGAGTCGACCGTCGTTGCCGAAGCGGAGGGGCACTCCATGGACGACATAATGCCGGGAACGAAACCAACGCCAATCGCCGTGGTGTTCGTCGATATCCCGGAGCACACGGAAACGACACTGGGCTCGTCCGTGCTGCTGGCATGCCGGACTGCTAATCCTGTGGCCGAGTGCCAGTGGTCCTGGCAGCCGCTGCCACCGGTTCACTTGCCGCTTCCGGACGTCAGTGAAAGCCTATCGGTTTCTACGAGTAAGCGCGACGTCTCGCATTGTTCTTTCCGCGATTATTCCTTCCGTGGCGAATTCAATTTCCGATTCGCGGGAGAATTTCGCAAATGTTACCAATTCGCGTTAATCATTTGATTGTAAAAAAAAATATGTTTTGCAATGATCCACTAAAGTCATTAGAAAAGTAAAAGGAATTGTTAGACGACATTGGGCTGGCAGATGGTTAGGTTTATTTGTTCGATTCCGACGTTTCGACCGTACGGGCTGTGGTCCTTTTCAAGGAATTCGATAATAAATATTACGTCATCGATATTAAATTAAAAACGAAGGTTTGACATCCATCTCTGGGCGCCACTCGGAGAACTAATCGATGACGTAGCATTTATTATCAAATTCCTTGAAAAGGACCACAACCCGTCGAAACGTCGGAATCAAACAAATGAACCACCTGCCAGTCTAATGTCGTCTAACATTTCCTTTTACTGTTAATTAACTACTGGCGATTCACATTCTTTCGTTGCCATTAGATAAGTATCCCCCTTGAAAATTAAAAAGATTTTCTAGTTTAACGCAGTCGTAAATTCGATGCCGCGTTAAATCGCGACACCTTTGAAATTCTCTCCTCTTCTAGTCCGCCTGATAACTACTCTTATAAATGGTCAGTCTCGTCTTTCTGTATTGGAATATCGCAAGTATTATGCGTAATTTGATCGCGCGCGCTGAACATTTATCGGTCCCAATTCGCTCAAATCTCCCTGGTGATTTCAGCCACGACGAACCCGACGATCGCGACTACGGCAACTCCCACGACCCACCCGTTGCCCGTACGACAGTTTCCCGCGTTCGGGAACAACAGCAACGATTGCTCCGTGAGATTCTCCAGCACCAAGCACGAGCAGACAGGATACTGGACCTGCGCGGCGAGAGCCTCGACGAGCGATCCTTTCACCAGCAGCGAGCCTGCCAAGCTCAGCATCGTCAATGCTAACGGTAGGATATTCAGTCTTGTTAATCCCGTCGATTTCGAAAATATACTCTTTATTTTTAAGGCGGTATCTTGATATCTCAGACGAATTCGATCAAATTATGACGTAAATTAGTTGTAGAAATGAAGTCTAATAAAGAAACGCTATACATTGCTGATAAATAATAGTGTAAACATATATTTTGCACGATATGACGACGCAAGTAACGGTGCGTAGAAAAAGTAGAAGTGTGTCTGTATCATATGTGTATGTGCTCTATTTACAGTTTGCGACACATTACGGTATAATTCTGCCAGTAAAGTATAGCGAACTTTTTTAGACGTCATAAGTGTTCAAGCTTTGATATTAATTTTTTTGCACAAAAATAGTAATTTTCATGTCGAAGCATTTTTTAAGACATTCCAAAAGAGTAATTTATTTTTCGATTATTATTTATTTTCCGCGTTTCACCTTTTTGTTAATAAACCTACGAGTCTTTCGTTAAAACCGCGACGCGATTTATAAGAGGTTTGGAGTTATACGCGCGCGATTTAATAGGGGTCTTTTTAATCTTGCACATATGCAAGAATAAGTAAAGAAGGAAAGAATATAACCCACCCGAATTTTTGCACATAAGAAGAAATCAACTTATATCGTACAACACTTTCACATAATACATCAAAGTGGCCAATATTGACCACTAACTCGGCGTATCCCTTCGTTGGGCCAGATTGGACATTCGTACCTTTCGTTGCTCCTGGCCATACAGTCTGGTCACTTCGACCAGAGATCAGGAAGGAAGAAAACTCCTTCCATAGTCGGCTTATCACCGACAGACATTTCGTACGGTTCGAACTATATGCGAGCGTCGATCGTATCGAAATGCACGACCACGAGAAGTTAATTAAAGAAGAAAATTAATTCAAAATATTTACTGTATAAAACTGATCAAATATATTTCGACATCCGTTATTTGCTCGAGAATAGGTGTTGACTCGATCTTCGAATTCAAAATTCAAGTATAGATACGGAAACAAAATTTACTTCGCGTTATATATAGTTTAACATATTTGAATTATATTCCGCGGTAAACTAAAATTTATAATGTTAATAAAGTCAAACAATTAATAATTTCTTGAGCTTTTTCCTGAAAAACGATCGCGAAAACCGACCGCGAAAACAACCGTAAAAATACGAAGATGCGTGCGACTGTGCATGTATTCGTGCGAGACGCATCTTGAAAGTGTATCGCGGGGTGCACAAACAATACAAAATAAATGACGTGAGACCCAGAGAAAAGAGACTTTCCGTACGATAGGCCGACAATTGAATATTCCAGTTAATCAGTAATTTCAAATGATGTATGAAAATAATATTAAGCGTTCTCGACAAAATACACTGTCTCACGTCATTATATAAATTTTTATATAAATTTGTTAATAAAAAATTGATAGACTACAAGAGATTAGCTCGACGAATATATTAATAATGTTCGTCATATTTTGCATGAAAATTACGGGACACCCAACCCTTCGCAGTTAAAGTCGCGATCACTCCCTTTCGTTAATGTAAACGTATAAAAATAAATACGAAATTATGTTGTACTCTATCAATTTTGAGGCAACGGATCTACGAGATATACTAATTTATGTTCTACAATATACGATCTACGAAATGTACTCTGGGAAAAAAAAGTCAGTTGCAACCCATTTTGGGGCCCACAATTAGTAATCGAATTATTTAGATTGTTCGTAAATCTAATCTTTTACAAATTTTATCCCGCGTAACTAAAAATCACAATTAGCTGTTCTATCTATATATCCAAGATTTTAAAGTAATACTAATCAATTCTCTCAATTAGTTCTGTCGATATTCAGTAATGCAAAGATAATTTTCACTTAAATGGCAATAACCGAAATATTAAGTTGCTTAACTACATAAAAAAACGGTCAAAATTTTTCCCAGAGGATCTACGAAATATACTAATTTATCATGTACAACCTACGATCTACGAAATGTAGATTCGTTGCCTCGTTAAAAAATTATTTGACTCACCAATCGACGCGCAGCAGCGGAGTTTAACTACGATGAATCTGTAACAGAACAATATAAGATTTCTATTAAAATAGCGTTCAAGAAAACTGAAAATAGTGCAAGATATAGTTCATATGCGTATAAAACTTTTTATTCAATTAGATATGTTTATATGATTATTGCGCGAAAGTTGTTCGGTAAAAGCCGAGATTTTCACGAGAATAAACTTTTGTAAAATCTTAAATTACTTCTCGTCCTTTAAGTATTATTTCGAATTTATGAAATTATGAACTGAAACTATGTAGAAAATTGCATGACGGCCGATGGCTGTCGTGCAATTTTCTACATTGGTTGATCAATTACTGGCGCTAAATAATTCTTTACGCAATGAAACGACTCGATAATACACCGGAGAAAAGATTAATTTGGCACAAAATGAAAAATTAACACTCACCATAAAGTTGCTCCGCCGGCGCCTGATGCCTTCCCCAGGCCACCTCATCCTCTCAGAATGATCCTCCAGGACACTCGCGAGAACACAAAAATCGTTCGCGCGATTTTACACTCCCGTTTACAAAGTCGATGTGAACGTATTCATTTTGTTCCGTCAAGTTCGCCTCCACTTCGAGTCGGCGAGTTTTTTAGTCGAAAAACTGCCAAATCTCTTAAGTGTAGCCATCGACAGGAACGGACATTTCACAAATACTTGTTCAAATGGGCTTTGAAGAGTCTTTAATTCGATCGAGTAAAACGGCACTCCCGAACGCGAGGAAAATGAAAACTTTATGTTATACGCGCACTTTTATACGTTTAATTGTTGGAGAGATTATGTCTTGGCAAGCGATCGATATGTTATAAGTTTTCGGTATTAATCACCGATGTGATTACGGATCGCGACAATTCCTTAAACGCGATGGATAGATATTAAAACTCTCGTACGAGACAATCGCGTTGCGTAGATGATCGAGATTCTCGTAGAAAGTAATCGCGTTACGAGGGGCGACGCGACGACACGCGGAAGATCCGCCTCGCTCGACTGACTCGCGCCGACTAATTCGGCACAATAGACTGTTTTCGAAAAAAGTGTTCACGGTGCTACGTCATTGTAACCGGCACTCGAGACAGAGTTGTTTACTACGGCGCGTACGTCATTTCTTGGAATTCGTGCTCGATCAACGGGCACTCGGGGAAAAACAGTCACGCCGTACACCGGATTGTTTACGCGGCGAATTCGAACAGAGTTAGGGCCAGTTTCACAAACGTCATTTAACCGGTAACCCATGGTTAATTGATCCTCTGTCTCTTCTTGGATAACAAGATAGAGAAAGATAGGAAGTCGACTGAACTCTGGTTAACAGTTAACCGACGTTTGTGAAACTGGACCTTAGTTGCCCGCGCCGCTTCGCAAATCATATTGTTTTTTACGCGTTCGCGACAAGTACGGGAAGAAACTTCGATCGTTTTCTGCGAATAATTAGCGAACGATATCGTCGCGCGATCGCTGAATCCTCGCGATAGATACCGAGAGTGAAATTACTTTTTCATTGCGACGATTGCTTCTTCAAAACGATGCCGTGTCTCGACTGTGTCTCGATAAATTGTTAACTCAGTTGCGTTTATTGTGCTGTGTCAATGTTGAAATGTATAATTTTCAAGTTTTTCGTTTATTAACGGAAATATAATCGTGAAATTGTTCTCTTATTAACGGAATCATATAAATGCTGATCAGAATGCAGAACTTTGAGTCGAATTACATCGCGATACGTTTAATTGAAGAATTAAATATCAATTAATCTTATTCGTACTTAATTATATTGTAATAATTACTCATCGATAGTTTAAATTGATACAGCGGTGATTTCTGTTGATTAAAATTCGTACCATCGGACATTTTTCGGATAGTATTAATTTTTTAAAAATTATTTATCGGTTCTACTGTATAGAATTCTGTAGAAAATGCTTAAATATGTTCGGAACTATGCGACAACTATTTGTAGAAAGTCAGAACTCTGTTATTTCGGACAGCAAATCACCTTTGTCTCCATGAGGATATATTTGTAAAGTGATAAAAAAATTTTAAATTATAAAAACTATGTTTTTTCGCCAGAACTCTTTCTAGAACTATTGTAGAATTCTCATGCGATAAAAATCCTAGCAGAAATAATTAGGAAATCATCCGGGGACAAAGTGATTTGCAGCGTGAAGTTAGCAAATCAGTTTGTACTTTTCCATTTTTTGGTCTTAAAAGCCAGAACTATGTGTTTAATGTATCAGGAACTCTAGAACTATTAGAAAGGAAGTCAGAACTCTCTACAATTAGGGATTTTCCACGAAATGAGATGCCAGCTTTACACACACGAAGCTGCCGCGTAGTCCCGTTCTTCGATTACAATTTTAATCGCGTGAGCATAGTGAATAAGCACGATGTATTTACGCAGTTGCTTTCGGATGACCTCGAATTCTTGGTGACAGAACACGCTTGACATCGCTGTTTGTCTTCAGCAATTGTGCTGATAATCATATATATATATTTTTTTCCCATTAAGAACTTGGTCACATAAATCGTTGCACATTGCACTGTGCTTCGATATTTAATTAAAAGATCGTGGTACATTACCGGTAACGTTGAATTTTTGGTTTATATCCCTAACGTTCGGGTAAATTCAATTTTGATAACGATCCGTCGAATATGAGTCATTCAAAAAGTGAAAGACAAGTGAATCACGGAAACGCCGTTTCCATACGAATTTGGTTCACTCTGATAATTATCGCGAATGAATCATGCAGTATGCAACATTTCCTTCCGAAACAGCTTTGAATTAAATCAAATCAAAGAATCAGAGACTTCTGAAATCTGAAGATGAAAATGCTAGGCCACACTTTGAAAAGATTTGAGGAGAAAGAGAGAACGAATTGTCTGCGGCGCGTTTTATATCTAATTCTTTTCGCGAGTTGACCGACTTTCGAAACGTTCGTTTTCAGAACGGCGCATTACGTAAGAAATATTGTGACGAGATGCAACTGGTGCATTCGCACGTTTCAGATGTCCTCATCACGTTCAGGGAGCACGATAATGTCGTTGAGGTGCCGGCGGGGTCCTCGGCGCAGATAATATGTCAGAGCAAGTTGCCGGTGCGCGAATGCCAGTGGTCCTGGCGGCAGCTGAACCAGTCGCAGCCCTGGAACCTCGACGTGAAGTCATTTCCAGCTTTTGGTAACGATAGCACGGAATGCAGTATCAAGTTCAAGAACGTCCTGTCGGAGCAGGAAGGCTACTGGACCTGTGGTGCGCGAATAGACCCGAATTCCTCGTTCGCACAGGCAACCCCCGTTCGCTTTCTCATATCAGAAGGTAATTAACTATCCCGACATTTTCACGTGTACCATTTCTTCTACACTTTTACATCAGCACAAATTAATTGATTTCGTACTTTACAAGTAATTACATAATAACTGAGAAAATATATTCATAATTATATATTCATAATATTCTGATATTAATATTGTAGTTCGTCTTTAATAACTGTAAATGTAAGGTATATATTTAAAAAAGCGATTGATTTAAAACTCAGTACTGTTACACTTTCGCAAATTAAATAAATCGACACTCGAACATTTTTTCCAAATAATATAATAGATAGTCATCTCCCAGTGATATGAATGATGTCTCCTAAACGATGCGTGTTTGAAATCAATCGCTTTTGATCAACTCGTGATAATTTGTGAACATTGAACTAAACTACTGAACAATGTCACAATGTAATTCCGATCGATCTTACGTCACGCGAGCTGTTACGCGATTGAAAAGGTCAACGAAGGGCTTTCGTTTCCCTTTTATAGTCGAGTTCGTGCAGTTGTCGCGCGGCGTGCAGGTTGCTGCCGGCGAATCGGTGTTTCTACGGTGCCTGGCGAACAAGCCGGTGGTACAGTGCGAGTGGTCGTGGAGGGCGTCGAACTCGAGCAAGGAACCGCTGCTGGTGAAGAAGTTCAATCCAAACAAGGACGCCGAACACGACTGTTCTGTGCGATTCAAGAACATACTGTACGAGGAGGAGGGTCTGTGGACCTGCGGGGTACGTTTGACGCCCGACGGTATCCTGCACACGGCGCCCGCGGCGACTGTCAGCCTCCTGCCCACAGGTACACGACAGCTGCGTTAATTAAGAGATAAATTCGCCCCGAACCCTGCAACCGCGCGATTGTTATCGAGCGTCCGATCCGATGTAATTATGAGTGAAAGAATACTCGCGCAATTACGGCAAAATTTCGCGCGATTATGAATGGATTGATGTCTCGGCGTGAGATGATGTGGGCATTGATTGCTCGCACGCAAAAAAAAAAGTAACGGCGGTTAGCGTTAAGAAATTCGAGGTATCATTGGCTGCGTTCAGCAGAAAAGGCTGCTGCTTCGCAACTATTGTAAAAATCTTGAATCTGGCGTATGTTTTTAATCTTGAACGAATCAAAGAGCATATTCCAATCAGACTTGCGAATTTTTTATGTAATAGGCAATGCCTCTTTCGAACATTAGCACGTTGTCTTTCTGCCTAAATTGCAGGTTAAAAGTCGTAATCTTATGCAGGATCTCTAACTAATGGAAAAAAGCGACTGAGAGTTCATTATGCTTTAAGCTATCGATGTCGGAATTCAGTATAATTCGACTGCACTTTCCCTCCGTACATTTCACCTTTCTCTCGCATCTCGTGCCTAATTTATGTAGTACTTTACACTAGACGGGAACTAATCGTAATACAATTATAAATTGCATTCGTATGGTGTAATAATGGCTAATTGAATTTGATCTTGAATTGCATTTGAACTTCTCGGAAGAGCATATTGTTGACCGAAAGTGAAAAGCTATAGATACCAAGAGTAAAAATTTTACGTAAAGATACGTAAGTAAAATTTTTTACCTGTTATATTATCTCATTCCAAACTTTTAGCTTCAATTATTGTCTAAGATATACTTTTTATACCAAAAAAACGAAACACGGTAAGCAATGTTGATGTTAAAGTGAACGTTTCGGACCATAGATTGGATCATAATCATACAATTTTAATTGGACAGACGTTAAAAATACTAGACGAGGAACGTTTTCTAGCAAAAAGATTAATTTCAAAAATGCTTATTATAAAGATAAATGGCCTTAATTTGCAAACGGATATGGAGTGTTCCTGATTATTACGCGTTCCAACTATTAATGAACTACCAGCTATCTAAATGATTTTAAATTCCAACATCCGTCGGCTTTCATTTCGATCTGTATCTCCCCCCCCCCCCCGTCATAGTCTACTTATTATATTTCGACGACCTTTTGCGATCATTACAAGATACACTGCTAGCGTTGATGCTAACTTTTAAATCTTTGGACCATTTCTAATGTCTACTTTGCATTGTTTTATCTACTGGCTTGTTATGCTGTATTACACGCTTGATTACAGGTATTAATATTCACTCTTGTCGTCAATACTTGTATAAACAATCAATTGTTCTTTATTTTCAAACATTTTTTAACGGATCGGTTCTTGCCAGCGCCTGTGTCTATTCTCACAAAGTTTTAAGCTATTCTTTTTCCACTCCTCGGCTCATCAAATGGTTTAAGTCTATCTCAACTACAAACATAATCTCGAAACAATTGGAGCCGTCGACAGAATCAGATCTGTTTTAAGAAATGCAATCACTCTGCGTTTGTGTGAAGCCTGGCCTTCGCACAACCGTTTTATCATTTACATTATTAATTTTTTATTCTTTATTGAAACTTTTAATTTTGCGACTACTTTCGTTTTAATTCTGCCTATAATTGTTAATGTTCTTGCGCTGAAGACAGTCCAAACAAAGTATCCGAAACGTTCGACTCTCATTGCCTTTGTATTTATTACCGATTATTATCTTATAGAGTCCATATTATTTACATTTTTTTAAAGTTTATATAGAATAATGTCATTACAAATATCTCAAAAGTATGGACATTTTCTATGTGCCTCCAGTCAGGAAGTAGAATCTTTCGTTAGCCATCCAAATCCAAGCAAGCTTCTTTCGCGCGTTTAATCGCGAGTTTTTCTTATCGCAACGGCCGATTCCAGCTAAGGTGAGCTTCGCCGAGGTGCCGGTCGACACGGCGGTGCCGGTAGGCACGGAGGCTACGCTGAAGTGCGTCACCAGCAGCCGCGTGGAAAAATGCGTGTGGACTTGGAAGCCGTTACACGGCAGCGATCCGGAGATCGTCCTCGACGAATTCGCGAGCAACGGTGATCTTGGTCGCGACTGCTCGCTCCACCTTTCGCACGTGCACGCGGAGAAACAGGGTCACTGGAGCTGCCAGGTTTCCATCGTGTCGCTCAACACCGTCCTGACGTCACCGCCCGCGAAACTCGTGGTCTACGAGCAAGGTAAAAAGATGCGCTCCGCGATATCCCTCACTTTTTTGCACGACTTTTAATTGTTATTTTAATTCCTCACAATCTAACTGATTCTAACGTATCGCTATTATCTCTTTCCAGATGAGGTGAAGTTCTCGGAGCTGTCGCAAGACATCCAGATCTCATCCGGCGGCAGCGTTCTGCTGCGCTGCGTGACATCCTCGGCGGTGGAGCAGTGCCGGTGGTCGCTCACCCCGGTCAACTCCAACACCACCGTGGTGGTGAAGCAGTTCCCGGCGGCCGGGAACGAGGCCCGCGACTGCAGCGTCCGCCTGAGCCACGCTCTCGCCGAGCAGGAGGGTCTCTGGACCTGCGGCGCCAGGATACACGGCCAAAACTACACGGACGCGCCGCCCGCGAAGCTGAGCCTCCTCGAGCCAGGTATCATCGAGACCTAGACGGTCGGTTTTGTGTCGCTTCTCCACCGCTACGGTGAAGGGTGGAAGCACCATTGATCGATCGTCGTGCGATTCCGGCGCGCTTGGCCTGGGCTAAATTATGCGCCGTAAATCGCTATCGAATACCGTAAATTGCAAGCGATCTAAATGCTCGGGGGAGGGGGGGGGAGACAAAGGACCTAAGAGATGCTGTATTGTTATAATCCAGTCGTTCGTCCACTTTCTTTTCAAAATGTGCACCCGCCTACCGGCTGAGTCTTTGAAGCGCACCGAGCTTGTTCCATCTTGTATTTAGATCCTCCTTTTTAATTCACAGTATTCGATTGTCGTAATAAATGTTGTCCATTCCACGCATCTTTAGTATACTTAGATCCTCCTTTTTAATCTATAGGATCCGATAATTGTAATACATGTACTCACAATCAAATTCCACACATGAAAACACGGAGATCTTGATGATCGAAATGAGATTTGCAATCCTTGCGATTGTACTTTCATTTCGATTATGGATGTTCAATCGATGACAGAAACGGACTGAATCGCTGACATATCGCACGAGTACATGAAGTTCCAATTGTTCATCGGAGAGACGGCCTTATGTATTCTGGCCAAGGCGTCGCATTAAACTACAATAAATTTTCTCGGAGTGCCTCGCGTGTGAGAAGCGCACGTAAAGACCATTGGGTATGCGAGCATACCGTCACGCGCAAAAGAGGACCTTTCGCGTGCGGAAGATCTGTTCCTTCGGTCGCACCGAGATCAGACGTCTGTTTCATGAAACTCAAGTCGACAGGCAACGTAATGTGAGCTGTAATCATCATAATGTAATAATTTTACGGATGTTGAAACGACGCTGTCAAATTTCTCCACTTCTCATCCTTCAACTCTCAAGCTGTCACCCTTGTCCATTTTATGTCAAAGTTTTAATCGTCACGTTCTGCCGAGTTTCATGAAACGCGCTCAAGACTTTCGCCCCAGGGCCTGAGTCCCGTCTTTGCATTCGATCGATTAAAACAGAATCGTAGGACACATGTGTATTATATACGTTTCAGGATCCGTGGCCTTGTCGCGACGACTGTCGCAACCAACCGCGATCGCAAGTGCATCGAGGCAAGCTGTACGTGAACTTTGCACGCGTCGCGGGGTATGCGTGTACATAAGTGTAGGCCATGGATCCTGACGCACGTCTTTGCAATCTGCGGTAGACGAAGCTTCTTCGGTGCGAGCATCATTTGGACGGCGACTCGTGTCGTAGCGAGCTAACAATCGAAAAGAAATTGACATTCTCCTGGCACCAAGCAATTGATTCTTTTGCAAAATTATTATAATTTTGACATTGATAACGGATTGCGTGCAATTTCACAGACAACTTGGATTTTACTGGACGAGCTGCTTTCAGCTCGTTTGTCTTTTAAGCAATTCGGTATCTCTCGTCGGAGCGAGGAAGGTCAGTCTCAATTATTTGCAAAGTTGGTTCACGGCGATTCAACTCAGCCTTCGTTACGACCACCCAGTCGTTCAATTGTAAGACAAATTGTGACATAACTCATCGTCCCACATTTGTGTGTGTTTCCCAAATGGCGAGGATCCACGCTCGATAAACGGCGTTGCGAGGAAGCAATCGACCGGGATTTGCGGCGGTAGCGGAAAGTGGATCCGATCGACCGTGGATCCTCGAATGTCCTGAGAGATTATGGGCGAAAGGTGACGGATCTGCATGTCGATGAAGCTTCATTTCATTAGATTAGATGTGGAAGCGCGAGTGTCTGTGAGTGTCGCCGGGCCGTTGCCCATCGGCGACCACCCACGTGTGTGCTAGAGAAATAATCGCGACCAAGTTTACTGTATTCGTAAGAAATGCCGTACGAGAACGATCTTACACGGTCGTTTCGTCGATTCAGCTTTGTTATCTTGCTTCGGCGTGCGGCGACGGGTTGTAAGAATAGCCAAGTCCTTTAGGACGAAACACTTTTCGCGTTCTGTCTCAGGTAGTATGTCTAATTAGCGTGATAAAGTTCACAGTCGCTGGTTTCGGTGCGTATAATAAATTATTAATCATCAAGTGCCTTAATAAGAAACGAAAATTCTAATTATTTGATTATGCGTACTTCTAGACCCTCCCCGAGTCGAGTATGTGGTCCCGGAATGGGCCTCAATTATTCTATTCTGTTTTCATTTGGACCTCGGAGTCGGTTTGAAACTCCAATTTGAGGCCCAGATGAGTAAAACAATTGCGTTTAACCTCATTCAAACTCTCAAAGAGAATGTAATGAAATATTTCACCCTCTTTGAAACCTCTTAGGCCGCAGAGGATCTACCGAACCTCTGTTGATTAAACTCGCATTGGCCTCTTTACCGCTAAAAAGGAAATAACGACTCTTTTCGAGCTATCTGAGGTAAAAAATGCAATATCTCTTCTCCGACACAAAGATCTTAGTTCGACCTCATTGCTCTCAATTAAAAAATTATACGAGACCTAAACTGAGGCCAAAATATTCGACTCGGGTAGAACACACATATAGTCCGCAAAACTCGACGAAAAGTCGTTAGCATTGTCGGGAATTTCTCTCGAGAATGTGTGTATCTTGCGATTCGGTAAAAAGTGGAAAAAGAGTTGCATTTTGAGCTTACGAGATTTCGAGTAGAAAGTAAAACAAAATGTATGTAGCCAATAATTGAATCTAGTTATTGGCTTTTTCTATTCGGCGTCTGGTATCCTTTTGAAGAAAGAAATTTGCGAAAAAGCACGCATTTTTATTAAAGTTATGTATAGCCGATTAATGTCCACGTAGACAAAAAATATGCGTGTGGTCCTAAAATAGGATTAAAACGTGCCTAAATCCCAATTGAGCAGAACGTGAAAAGTAAATGCAATTTTTCTAGTACATTTATAGAGACAATCCAAGTGGATTTTTTTTAAAGGCATACAATGATCGTGAAAATATTATTCGATTACGTCAGGATCATCAATCTTCGCTTTACCGCGGCACGCAGTGTCTATTTTTAATTTAATTACGTTGTCGTGCATTTGCATTTACTAGCGTTAGATCATTTCGCATTATCAAAAACCGTAGAGCCCATTGCCGTTTATCACTCGCGATTCTCCGATAAACCGTGAGATTTATCGGTTCCTTGTGCGCGCCGCCTGGTAAACCACAAATTAACAATCCTGTCGGCTTTTCTTGTTATCCTCAGTGATTGAGGAGGCTTCACACACGAGTCGTAATTAATTGCGATTCTTTCCACGGCAATTCATCCACGCCAAATTAGCCTTTCTCGTGCCTAATTATACGGCTGTATGTTAAAAACAATTAAAAAATTAGACATACAGATTTACTCTCGGATAAAACTGGAGTGTCCTTTCATGTCGCAACACAATTGTTTCAATCCGCAATAGAAAATAATGAAAGAAGATATTCTATGATAAAAATATCGGACAAGATTAAATAAGTTATATTATCGCAGTATTTAATGTAATACAATAAAAGAAATGTTGCAGTAGCCATTTTGCAAATTTAAACTAACCGCTAAAAAAAATAAGTTTAGAAGAAAATTAATTCGTTCTCGATCAATACACAGAATTATATTCAATGTATATAAAAATATTCATTATTAGCAATGCTATTCATCTTGTTATTTATATTCTCAACATCGAGACTGCGCTCAAATGAGATTTTGCATAGTTGATAAATATTTTAGCTAAACAAAGTGCGGATTGAATCGTTTAACAATCGAGAAAATATTTCAGACCAAACTTTCACACATAGTATTTTACGAATTTACGTGTTACATAATAATTTAAAAATTACACAGTTAATATTTACAAAACAATTTTTTTCCAATACTATTGCAAAAAATTTGTAATAGAAAAGCGATCGAGGGGCTAATTTTACTTTCTGATAACTAAAGATGTGATTTAGAACGTGCTCTCTTTGAAATGCATTTTCTGTACATAAAACTAGCAGCGATAAATAGGTTCCGAATTAATGAACGATTATGCAAATGAGTAGTGAACGACTACAGGTAAATCTGCACGAGCATATGTAATGTCATCGGCTGCGTCTCCCGTGTCACATGTCACATTATTTATTATATAAAGTCATCATCCTTAAGTTAACATCGCGCTTCTATCTTTCATCGTGGTTACTGCTTTACTCGTGATCGATTTTGATATACGTCCGTTATGTACGATTCATTATTATCACTTACGACTAGCCGCTAGTGCATTTACTACTAAGTAGGCAATTTTTAGCGTTAAGGTTTTTAGCGTTCAGAAAATTCATGTCCGCGACGAGTAACGTTCGCTCAGCTCGTTGGTCGACAGTACAAAGGCGTCATCATGTTATCACGGTGCGTGTCTTAAGTTTCTAGTATCTTAGCTAATTAAATTTCTTCTCAAACCGAAAATTTTAAACTTCACTCTCCACGAAGTTTCAAGCGAATTCAATTTGCAACCCAAAACTGGCGTATTTAAGGTAGAGAGAGAGAGAGATAGAGAAAGAAAGAGGTCAAGGTAGTTTAATTATCGGTTCAGCAGGGAATGCACACGTTATATTTTATGCGTCAGCGTTGCGCTTTATGAACAACGGCGACGAAGTATGAGCACGATCAAATTTGAGCAGCGATTCACTCGCAGAGCGTATGAATCTTCATGTGCCATTAGTATCGTTAAGCACGACGAGGTGTTCGTGCATTCTCGAGCGCGTTTTGCGTCTCTGAGTTGCTGTAAACTGTTTTTTTTCCTTTTCCGTCTAAATAAATAGTTATGCGAAAACGTCACAGCGACCTTCTCATTTCCATCATCCCGGTTACTAACTACGTTACAGCTGAACCCGGAGGCGCCCACCCCGTGTTCGCGACGCGCCGCCATAATTTCAAGCTGATGCACAATACAAGTAGCGTTAATTAATCGAAGATACCCACGGGAAAATATTGCAGGCGCTAACTTTTTACAGAGCTACAGAGAAAAATTACGCGATCACTACATTTTGCAATTAGTGAAAAGACTACATATATCGATTTCAAGCAGCGTGTCGCAACGTCAAGTATTAAATATGTTACAATGTATCCTCGTAATACAAATCGACATTCTTTAAGTTCGATATTTACTTAATTTTTATTTTACAGTTTTTACTGTATTATACATTTACGTTTAACGTTGAAATAACTCAAGACGTTTTACTAGTATAGCGCTTGAAATATTTCTTCCGGGGTTTCATTAATGCACGCGAGATCAGCGCTGCACAATCTAACGATCTAGACATTTATCAAGCCACGAAAGACATCAATGCACAAACGAATGGTAGTCGGTGGTCAAGGTGATTCACTCGTTGGATAATCTGCACATCGGAGATTTAGCAGCTTTTGGTGAGTGGGACGAGAAATTCGAAAAGAGCTTTCCTGATGGCCTCAAGAAGAATCCACGTTAAGTCAATTTCAACAAGAACAAAGTTAATAATGTAATTATACAGGAAACCAATGTTTTAAAAAACTTGGAAAATAAATAAAAATTCATTAATAATTTTGCTTAGTTGAAAAAAGTGCAATTTAACATTGAATATCACACGATTAAATACTTTCGGCGCTTGAAAATATTCCAGAGTTTACAAGATAAGCAAGATTATTAGAGATGATATTTTCAATTTAGTAGACAATCACAATTCGAAGGAATAAAGTGTTCGTATGAGAGTCAAGACAGGACGTTTGTGTCTAAAATGATTTTAATTTTTTAATTTATTGCGAAAAAAATTTACCTCGGCCAGAGTTTGGACTTGGACCTTCCTCTTTTCGCAATAAATTTAAAAGTCAAAGTCATTTTGACACTAACTTCCTGTCTTGGTTCTTATATCCTTTATTCCTTCGAATTGTGATTCCCCGTCGGAGCCTTATGAATTTTATTGTTTAATAGATAACGTATAATATCTTTGTCAAATAACCGTGGATTCTGGCAGATTCTCGAAGCGGTAAGGGTTTCACCAACGTCGCTTAACTTTAATCTCGGTTTAATTCAATTGGTTTTCTAAGGGAACAGTTGGAAAAAGACAAAAGATTAATTAAGGTGAGATTAAAGTTAAGTGACGTTGGTGAAACCAGGCCAAAAAAAGGAAATTCAATTCAGGGAGATATCGACCGTTTTTAGAGCCTGTCACTATCGCGGTTTGGGCCGCGCCTCACAAAATGGTCACTCTTGCGTGCAGAGTCGGATCTGTGTCGTCGGAGGCCAGATGCCACTGGATCCACGCCCCAAAAGTTCACGTACATCAGAACTCCAGCAGGCAGCTTGCAAAGAAAACGAGGTAACACTTTCCAGTATACATACATACAGGGTTGGGAAGTAACTCGTTACTTGTAACGAAGTTACAGTTACAGTTACTTTTTTTTATAACTCTAATGTAGCTTCATTACTTTCGCTCCATCTGTAACTGTAATTTAACTCAGTTACATTAATAATTACTTTGTATATATTTTAAACCTCCGCAGATCGCGTTAGGCCTTACATTACATTAATGCATAAACGCCTTTCTCGGCACTTAACAACTCGAATGCAAATTTGATATTTCTATTTTTATTGCAAGTAACTGCAAAGTAACGATTCGTTACTTTTTGGGTGACTGTAACTGTAACGCGTTATTTTTCAGAATTGGTAACTTATAACTGTAACTAGTTATATTTTTCGTGAAAAACCTGTAACTAGATACTTTTATATTTATAGTAACTTTCCCAACCCTGCGTATATAGTATGTTATCCTTTTTATCTTTGTATCCGCCTAATTTCTTTTATATTATGCAGGCACAGCGTCCAAATGGATTATAACACGGGTATATGCAAGCTGATCTTCAAGCCGGATCATTCCGATTTAGGGCAGTGGACTTGCAGATTCACCGTCAACAATAACGATGACGACATCGAGATAGGAAGTGCGTCGCTCGTCCTGCTCAACACTTTAGCAGGTGTCCGCTGGCATTTCGTTAACAATCCATATTCGTTCCTCATAATTATATTTCTTTTTAAATTACTTTACACAATTGCGATTTTTAATACCGCCCGCCGATACGAGAGATAATTTTTCGCACGTCTTGCACGCAGATGAGAAACTGGGATGGATCGTAGGGACCCTAACGGCCGTGATCCTGTTCCTCATGATAATAGTCGTGGTGCTGGTCGTCTGCAAGGCGCGAATATTTGTCCGCAAGACGCCCGAGGTCTTGGAAACCTTACCTCCCGGCGAAAGGAAGGAGAACGCGAGATCGTGCACCGAGAATCAGGGGAAGATCAATTTTCAATTCGTCGAAGACAGCGGCCATGCCTCGAGCCTCGAGAGTATCCTGCCTAACAGAAGTCCGCGTGTGGACAAGAATCATGGGGCACCGTCCAAGACATACGAAAATGTTGGATTATAATACGTAGTTATCAACTTTCTCTGGGAGAAAAGACAGTTTAGCAACCCATTTTCGGGCCCACAATTAGTAATCGAATTATTTGGATTGTTCGTAACTCTAATCTTTTACGAATTTTACCCCGCGTAACTAAAAATTGCAATTAGCTATTCTATATATATAGCCAAGATTTTAAAGTAGTACTAATCAATTCTCTCAATTAGTTCTGTCGATATTCAGTAACGCAAAGATCATTTTCACTTAAGAGGCACTAACCGAAATGGCAAGTTGCTCAACTACAAAAAAAAACGGTCAAAATTTTTTCCAGAGTAGAGTTACGAAGTCTCCAAATAATTCGATTACTAATTTTGGGCCCCAAAATGGGTTGCTGTCTTTTTTCCCAGAGTTTAGATGATTTAGAGAGGCAAAAGGACTACATCTTGTAAAAGTTACGAACGCGTGAAAATTACAAACCAATGTCGACATTTTATACATATATGTATAGAATATCTTTAGCAACCTTAATAAATTATATTTGCATAAATATAATTTTTTAATTAGCAGAAGGATTATGTGTTCCTACAGTGTTTACTGTATATTATTAGTACTAAGAGGCGAATAATTATATAAAAACAGGTATACATTCTTTCTTAAAAAGGCTGTAAATGTAATGAAAAATCAACACTCGCATCTAATTGTTATCGCTTTTTCGTGACGCTAATTGATCATCTCGATACATATTTCGTTACTTTGCATCGTGAGTAACTGTCATATTTTTTAAATGCGTCTTTTTCAAAAATGTATATCAACATCCATTGTAAAGAGCCGCTGTAATAATATATTTAAAAAATTCATATGTTGAAAGGATTAATATTACGCAAATTTATTAATAATATAAGTGTTGATGGAATAATGGTTGAAAGAATAATGATTTTATCAATTTTTCCACGAGTTTGGCGTTGTTTTTAAAGAAGAAAAAAGACGTAATCAATCATAGCTGATCTCTCACTGTAGAAGAAAATGATGCCAGCGAATGGCAAGATTGCGACAGAACACGAAGTGCACGGACATTCTCTTTGTCTCGTCATACATGTGCTTGTTTGCCGGCAAAACAGGGCAGGTTGTGACCATTGTAAGCAATAGTATTGATAGCTATAAAAATGCCACGATGAGTACGTCATCGTGTGCAGATCGACTAAAGATATTTTTTACAAGTATTTTCTTACTACCAAATTAATTTATATGTAATGGTATAATTGTATTCGGAATACAAAAGATCGTCATCAAGAGACAATCTCCACTCCCTTTTTAGCGACGTTATGCGTCGTCGCGAACAAATTTTGAATTTTTCTAATTAAAAAAAATAGTTTTTGTAAAAATTTGAAAAGAACAATTAAAACAGTTTATGGAATAATAAAATTAAGTGAAATATTATCAAGTCAAATTATAAAAATTGATACTGTGACAAGTCTTAAATTGATGTTGATTAAAATGCAAAAGAAATAATTATTTTAAACTCATTTTATCAAAGTGTGATCATCTTTAAAAATATTTGGCGAAAAAGTAAAAATATATTTATCCAAAAGCTGTATTTTGATGCTTTATCGCATAGAATTTATCTTCTTTAACTTCGTATTACGATCACAAAAGTCGATATAGAATTTATTACAACTACTACACCAGTATGTATACATATGAATAAATAAATTTAAAATATTTTAACTATAATTTATTTAAAAATATTTTGTTAGAAAATGACTGACGCACGGTGTTCTACTAAACGTGTAGAAAGGCATTGAAAAGTGTATTTTGACATTATAAATTATACCTATTAGTTATTTATAGTATAGCGACATATAAATCCTATTATTTAAGAGCATCTAGCTGAGCTTGAATTTTTTCTAAATTATAATACAGCTCTGTCAATTGCTTCTTGTCAAACTCCGTTGTTAACGTAGATGTTTTATCCCCAGTCAGACTTAGCTGAAGCAACGCTACAGGTCGTGCGTCTTTAGAAAGTGCAGATGACGATGATTGCACATTTAGGCACCAGTTGATATCTTTTACCTTGTCAAATGAAGAAGAAACAGTTTACTAAATCAATAGTAATTTATATGATTATGTATATAACTCAGAGTCAAAAACATTGACATTTTAGTCATTAAGCTACGTCTGATATTAGATCTATTAGATCTATGTGATATTAGATCTATTAGATCTGTGTGCGCTCATTCAGAAGGTTAATCTTTTATAATTTATGCCAAACATCTCTCTTTTATCTCTACGTCAAAATACCTGAGTGGGAAAAATGGACTGTTGCCTAAGATTCTCTACAATGCCTTTCCCATAAGTCATCCAGGCATTTGTAAAGATCGATATTTTCTCCTCGTCTAGTTTGAAATTCTCTCTCATGACTACTTCCATAACGGACGGTTTGACAACGCTACACGCTGCCTGCGTGTAGATAGACGTAACGGCGTCCAGCAGGAAGGCTAATTCGTCTTTCGCCAGATCTAAGGAAACCAGTAGCTTTTCCTTTTCTTCCTCATTGAACACCTTCGCATCAGTACTGGACTGCAGCGTCTGACATATGCGGTTGACAAGAAGTCGAAATTTGCCGTTGTCCACTCGAGCCACTATCTTTAAACCTTGCTCCAGTCTAGTAAAACAAACGTAATAGCTAAAACTACACGTTGCCGACAATGGCAATTTCCTATTAACCAACAACATTGAGAAGTTGGGCTGTCAAGGACATTGAGAGAATAGCGTAGCGTAAAGAATAATAATGAAACTGAAATAACTTTCAAAACATGTAAGCTTGCTTCACTGATATTAGTCTTCACGTGGCAGTTAACTTAAAAAGTACGCGTGCTAATAGCGCTTGCAATAATTTGACGCACATACTTGGAAGTTATGTTGATCCAAGCAGCCATTCTTACGGGCGAGACTTTTCTCATGACATTCTAGTCGTACTGTCGCAGCTTAATCTCTACCCAAACAAAGCCTTGAGAATTAGATAACCTCTCTATTCATGTTACGAATTCCTGACATTCCCGATCCATTGAACAAACGGCGCTCATGCTTTGACCATAGATTACGCACGATTTAGATGTTTTTATCTCAACTCGAGAGGAAAGATACCACGCAGGTTTAAAGACCCTCCAATCAGAGTCTGGTCGTAAGGAAGCACGCTGTGACTAGTCCGCCATTTTTCGTCAATTCGCGCCAGTTTTACACGGCGGTAATTATTCAGTTTAACTCCCTTGCCTCCAAAAGAGACAAATTAATCGGAAAAAAGCAGGCTCCAAGCCTAATTTAAGAGAAAGGAAAAGAAGATCCTCAAAATCGAATGAAATTAGGCTCATTCAACGCGCTTTCGCTCGAAATAAAAGAATCTGGCAGAAAAAAAGTGTTGCTCTGCTCCGCGGAGCGAGATATTACTGTAAGAAATGATTCGTTGATCGACGTCGAATCGACATCGACACCGTCGAATTGACGTCGATTCGACGAATCATTTCTCACTGGACTCCGATCTTGTTGATACGTCTTTCTTTTTTCCGTGCATAAATGATTGTACTCACCGGAGGGTTGCTACGCCGTCGCCCGATGCCTCCCCGGCTGCCGCCTCCTCTCAGACTCCTCCATTTGCACTGGCAATCGGCACAACGCGGCACTCGCGAAAGAGAAGCTAATTGCGTCGAAGTAACGCGCGACGTACTGCACTCCCGGCATTAATCAACGCTCTATTACAACCCCAGCGAGAAATGATTTGTCGACCGACGTCAAAACGATGTCGGTGCGACACTGTTTCGACGTCGATCGACGAGTCATTTCTGATCGGGACGAGTGCGAGAGAAAGCGAGGGTCGCACACGGAAATACGACCCGCTACGGTGACGTCGCGTGAAACGGCGGGAACGTTGCGGCGAGGACTCGGAGATACGCGAGGCCCTCGACGCGTCTCGCAACCGAACGCGAGCGTTCAACGGGGTGATCTCGCGCAAACATTTCTCTCGGCGCGCGTCACGCGTGGAAAACTCGGGTATTTCTACACGCGCGAGGAGATGCGAGTTAAAATTGACATTCGCGTCGTCGCGGGAATCCGGCGGCGAGGAAGATTCCGGCCGGGGTTACCCCGCGCGATTCACGCGTCTCGGTGGATCGCCGACGCGTGAGTATCAAATAATCTACGCCGCGATTGCTCAACTTGACTGCTGAACAGCGTTAGACTCACCACCGTCGTGAAAACTGCGTCGCGACGACCGGCGACGCAGGAGACCGGTCCGCTTGCGTGTCCGCGACGCTCCGCGATGCCTCTCGAGCGGACCAACATGGCGCCGTACCCGGTAGCCCCCCCCCCTCCCCCCGCCCCACTGCGCGATACTACGCGAGTCAGCGACGCGACTTGAATATCACTTTGAACGCACACTCGAATTCACACGTCTGTTGATGAACTCTCGACAAACTCGCGGCTTTCCTCTGTTCAGGTTACATCGGAGGAACAGCGTGCGCGAACGGTAGACGGCGATTCGACGGTATCTCCAAGTGCACGCACCGAGAAAGGCTGATGGCAGAGAACAATCCGTAATCGCTTAATGCCCGATTTCTTCACATCCAGTTATGTTACGGTTAAAGTTAAACGGGAGATAACTACCAGATCCATGCACAGATCCATGGCCAAAACTTGAGATTAACCTCCGGATAATTTTATCGGAAAGTGAAAAAATCGGCCATAAGACTGTCTTAAGTCGTGGACGTAAGGCAAGGCAGAGAGAAACGTAAGCCTTGAAAAGGCTATTGTATATGACTTACGTTTTTCTTTGCCCTGCTTTACGTCCACGACTAAGGCGGACTCAAGCGTTTACAGGTCGTTCTCTGCTATCAGCCAAACGAAGACGACGTCGATAACACGATCGCGCACACCGGGCTTAACACTCGTCTCACATATGAATCGCGCAAGATATCTTGGCTAACCGAGCACAGATAGCAAATCGCGAGGAATCACGTGATGATAACGATCACCAGTTATTCGTAAAGAGCGATCGCGATTTCTTCCCGTACTTGTCGCGAACGCGTATCACGAAACAATAATACGTTATGCCCCATACAGCACATGATATTCGGAGAACGTTCTAAGAATGTTCTAGAATATTCTAGAACATTCTTAGAACGTTCCCCGGAACGGCGCGGGCATATAATCGACTCGTTCAATTGTCGCCGAGTAAATGATCCCGTGTATACGGCGTGACCTTTTTTTCGCCGTAAATAACTCGGTCGCCGAGCCCCGGTTCCAAGAAATGACGTAGCATTGCTCGAGCAGCGTAAACAACTCGGCCGCCGAGCGCGTGTTTTTACTTTCATTCCGAAAAGTGACGTAGCTCGGCGAAAACCTTGACCTCGGTCGAAGACAGTTCAGTGTACCGAATTCTTCGGCGCGAGTCGGTCGAGCGTGGTGTGTGCTCCGCGTATCTTCGCGTCGCTCGTCGTAACGCGATTATTTCCTACGAGAATCGCGATCGTCTCGTACGAGAGATATTGACGTTTACCTTATATCTATCGCGTTTAAGTAATCGTCGCGATCCGCAGTCATAGCGTTGATTTCTACGGTGATTTGTCGAGACGAATATCGCGCGTAGTTTGAAGTTCGAAGAGACAATGCGATCGGAAGTGCAATGTAATACACGAATCGTCGGGTAAAATTATAACGAAACGTTAGAATGTATCGATCGCTTGCCAAGAAAGCATCTCTAACAATTATACGAACGAAAGTGCGCGTATAACAAAGTGTTTCGTCGCGTTCGGGAGTGCCGTTTAAATTATCGAATTGAAGACTTTTCAAAGCCCACTTGAGGAAAAAGTATTCATCGAATGTCCGTTCCTGTCGATGGCCACACTTCTGAGATTTGACAGTTTATCGGGTATAATACTCGTCGACTCGAAGTGGAGGCGAAATTGACGGAACAGAATACCTTCATCTGGGCTTAAACGGGAGTGTAAAATCGCGCGAACGATCTTTGTGTTTTCGCGAGTGTGCCCAGAGGACTATATCTGAGTGGAGGAGGAGGCCAGGAGAGGCATCGGGCGCCAGCGGAGCAACTTTACGGTAAGTTTTTGTTATTCAGTGTAAAATTACTATTTTTCCAGCTCACTTTCGAGTCGTTTTATTTCCTAATTATATAATTTTGAAATAATAATTAGTGAACGCGAAATAATTGAAAGTTTTATAAAAGTTTCTTCTTGTAAAGATCTTTTGCGGATTAATCATTAAAATATCCCATCGAATAAAGCATTTAATAAGCATAAGTCTTGCTCATATTTATAATATTAAATTCCTTGAACACTTTAATAAATTCTATATTTTTATGTTACAGATTTATCGTAGTTAAACTCCGCTGCTGCGCATCGGGTGGTAAGTAAAAAACTTTTTTTATTAAGGCAACGTATCTACATCTCGTAGACCGTAGATTGTAGAGCGTAGTTTGTAGATTAGTATATCTCGTAGATACGTTGCCTCAAAATGGATGGAGTACAATTTCATTTCATATGTATTTATTATTATATATTTTATCTATCGAAAGTCCTGGTGAAAATAAAAATTGGTGCGTAAATCGAACGTAAGGGGAGAGTGACACAAGCGTAAACGAAATGTGTAGGAAGCGTAATTTGGAACAGCGAAGCGTAACGTTCTTACGTTCGATTTACGCTCCAAATTCTATTTTCACCAGGGAGGGAGTAATCGTATTTTTTTACTGTGGAGGGTCGGGTGCCTTGTTGCAGCGCATCACATATTTTCACTTGTAGCCTATCCATTTTGCATTAACAAATTTATGTGTAAAGTAAAACATGACGTGAGACTCTAATATTTTGTCGAGAACGCTGAAACTTTGTATTATTTTTATACGTTATATGAGATCATTGATTAACTAGAATATTCAATTGTCGGTCTATCTATCGTACGGAAAGTTTCTTTTTTCTGAGTCTCACGTCATTTATTCTGTATGTGTATCTCGATACACTTTCAAGATGCGTCTCGCATGAATACATGCATAGTTACACGCATCTTCGTATTTTCGCGGTCGGTCTTCGCGAACAGTCTTTCAGCAAATTTGCAACAAGTTATTAGTTGTTTAATTTCATTAATATTAAATTTTTTAATTTACCGCGAAATGTAATAAAAATAAATATAACGCGAAGTAAATTTTTTTTCTATATACATACATATATACTTGAATTTCAAATTTGGATATTGAGTCACGAAGAGACAGTCATTATTGATTCTTGATTAAATAACGGAAGTAAAAATATATTTGATTAGTTTTGTGCAGCAAATTTTTTAAATTAATTTTCTTCTTTAATTAACTTCTCGTGGTCGGCATTTCGATACGATCGACGCTCGCATATATGTAGTTCGAACCGTACGAAATACCTGTCGGTGATAAACCGACTATGGAAGGAGTTTTCTTCCTTCCTGATCTCTGGTCGAAATGACCAGACTGTATGGCCAGGAGCAACGAAAGGTATGTCCAATCTGGCCCAACGAAGGGATACGCCGAGTTAGTGGTCAATATTGGCCACTTTGATGTATTATGTGAAAATGTTATACGATATATGTTGATTTCTTCTTATGTGCAAAAATTCGGGTGGGTTATATTCTTTCCTTCTTTACTTACTCTAGCATATGTGCGAGATTAAAAAGACCCCTATTAAATCGCGCGCGTCTAACTCCAAACCTCTTATAAATCGCGTCGCGGTTTTAACGAAAGACTTGCAGGTTTATTAACAAAAAGTTGAAACGCGGGTAGGTAGGAAAATGAATAAGACGATACAGCGGAATACGGATAGGTAGGGATTCGGATAGGCAGGGACAGAGGGACATTACTGCATAATTAAAAAGATAGATAAAATTATAACTGTAATGTATTATTATTAAATATAATTGTATTTGTAATTGGATGCATATAATAAGATGTAAATTGTTATGCGTTTGTTAAGTTTTTACTTTAAATTCACTTAAAATTTTTGTAGAATTGATTTACTTGTAAGAGACTGTTAATAAATACATTCGGGATATTTTTTATCCCAAACATGCAATATTTAGATATTTTACATTGCAAGAATTTTATGTTATTGTCTGCATACCAAATACTATATTTCATATGTATCGTCGAGAGAAATATTGTATTGTATAGATATTACAGTTTTAATTTTATATTGTAATTATTTCTTTTAAAATATTGTATACATTGTGAAGGAAATTGCAAGAAAAATAAAATAAAAAATAAAATTGTAAAAATTCACATTGTACAGAAAAGAGGACCGCCGATCCAAATCGGCGGGGGTGGTGGAGGGCATATTTTTGTAATGCACTTTCAATGTACACAATGCCGTGCAATTATTCTATATTTTATTATTTATAATAATAAATAAGCACCATGGCTGGCACGTACGCCGCGGGGCGATTTGCGCGATCTCCGCTCAATTAAGCGACGCCACGGCTACGCGAGCGTGCACTTGGAGATACGGGAGGCGGACCGTCGAATCGCCGCCTACCGTTCGCCCTCGCTATTCCTCCGATGTAACTTGGGTAGAGGAAAGCCGCGAGTTTATCGATTGTTCATCAATAAAAAACGAGTGAATTTTTATTACTCAATAATAAAATTACTAAATAACAATAATTTTTCACTGGCCAATTCACCACTGCTAGATACACCCTCTGATCGGAGTCTGGCCATAAGGAAGCACGCCCGTGATTGGTCCGCCATTTTTCGTCAATTCGTGCCAGTTTTATAAAGCGGCAATTATTTAGTTTAGCTCCCTCACTTCCAAAATCGAATAAAATTATGTTTATTCAACGCGGTCTCGCTCAGAACAAAAAATCTAACAGAAAATGAGTGTTGCCTGTCCCGCGAAGCGTGATATTGATTGTTGAAGTTGACTACTGTTAAGGTCGGTATGACAGATTTCTTGACTAAGAAAATTGGCGGATACAAATCTTACCGGTGATATGGCCAGACCCTGATTAGAGGGTCTCTACGCAGGCTCTGCTTAATCTGCACTCGACCGCGACATAGTGTAGACCTCGAACTTTCCGGGTCTTTTTTTGTTTCGGAAAAATGATATCTCTCGATGAAAATTTGCTTCAATTGCTTATTTCTCGCGCTACTAAAACGTTCGTACAAAGCCGGGTCGTATATTCTGACTGTTAAAAATTTGCAATCGATGAAAATACGAGTATACATTTTTACGACGTAAAGGTCTAGCAAAATTTATTAAAAATTTTTTTATATGTATAAAATCACTCTGTACGATGCTAAAGGTGATTCTATTGATTACAGTAGATTAACTTTAATCTTCATCGATGGAAATGAATAGAAATAGCTATCAAAAACAAATTTTGCAAAGTGTTTGCTACAAATTTTATCAGCAATGGAACAATAGAATTTGTTAACAAAACTATAAAGGCAAACAGAAATGTGGGAACAGAAAATTTTGTCGTTTGGTAACAATTAAATCTAATCTACAATGTGATCTTTGCGTCTAGAATCATTCTATTTTATATAAGCAAATGAAAACGCTCAAAAAATTTTTCGACAATTCACATGATTGTACAATGTATAATGTACAATTTTTGAAACGTTTTTATTGGCTACAAAATAAAATGTTTCTAGACGCAAAAAACACATTGTAGTTTCACCAACGTTGCTTAACTTTAAGCTTAGCTTAATTCATTCTGTCTCTTGCTGTAACTTTAGAGAAAGACAAACGTGAATTAAACTAAACTAAGATTAAAGTTAAACGACGTTTGGTGAGAAAAGCCATGTAGATTAATTTTAATCTCGGTTCAGTCTACTTTTTATCTTTTATTAATTCAGAACTAAAGAGATATACAGGGTGGG